GATATATACATATATACATATATGTATATATATATATACATATATGTGTACATACATATATGTATATGTATATATACATAAACATATATGTATATGTATATATATATATGCATAATTGCATTGATTGAAGAAACCCTTTTGGGTATATATTTTTGTAAAATGAATATATATTATGTCAATTATATATTATTTTAACTTTATGATATTGTCTAACAATAGCGATTAATTCATTTTTCAATTGTAGGTATGGCATCGGCAGACAGTTCCTCAAGCACCCCTACATTGGATGACGTCGACGATTGTGTTACGGTAAGAGCAGTTGATCGGCGTAACATTTATGGAAGCATAGGTGGTACCGAGCAAAGTGTGAGTAGCCCCGAAAATGTTGAGAATGACAATCAACTAGAAAGGAAGAAGAGAGCGAAGACATCAGTTGTGTGGTCAGAATTTACGGAGGTGGTTCTCCCTGGTGGTATAAGGAAGGGAGAGTGCATTCATTGTAAAACAAAGTTGAAAATCACTGCCAGTGGAAGCACAACACAATTCAACAGACATTTGAAAAGGTGTGCAAAGAGAACAGCTCACTTGAGGCAACAACAAATAAATTTCCCCCCTTCCAATTCTTAGGGTGGCTCTAATGTCCTGCCTGCTCTACGGGGCCAATTCAGTATGTTGAAGATGAGGGAATTTATTGCACATTGGGTGCTGATGCATGAGCATCCATTTTCTATTGTGGAGGAAGAGGGGTTGAACAATATGATGAAGTACGGGATTCCTGAATGGACTTCGATATCCCGTAATACTTGTAAGAATGATTGTATGAAAGTGTTTGAAAGTGAGAGACAGAAGTTGCTGACCCTATTAAAGGGTGTTAGGAAGATAAGTCTGACCATAGATCTATGGCATTCAGGCAACCAGAGGATGGAATACATGGTTTTGATTGGGCATTGGATTGATGATCATTGGAAGTTTAATAGACGAGTATTGAACTTTATTCATTTCCCTCCTCCCCATTCTGGTGTTGCCATTGCTGATGCAATTTTCAAGTGTTTGATGGATTGGGGAATTGAAGCTAAGGTCCACACGATATCGGTGGATAATGCTTCAAGCAATGATGTTGCAGTAAAAGTGTTGAAAGATAATTTCCAAGCTATGGGGAAGCTCATATGTGGGGGCAAGATGTTTCATGTGAGGTGTTGTGCACATATCTTGAACCTGGTTGTTCAAGATGATCTTCATCAAATTAGATACATTATTGAGGACATCCGTGATACCATGTCGTATATCAATTCATCGGAGAGTAGACTAAAGGTGTTTGCAGAGATTGTTCAACAACGCTGATTGCCATTTCGCAAGCTTATTCTTGATTGCAAAACGCGATGGAATTCAACATATGATATGTTGACAACGGCAATGCAATTTAGGCGTGTTTTCCCTTGTTTGAAGGAGAGGGATTTGAGTTATCATTATTGTCCCAAGGAAGAGGATTGGGACAAAGTTGAGAAAATTTGTCCTATTTTGAAGGTGTTTAGTGCTACGTCGAATCTGATATCAGGGAGTGATTATCCGACATCAAACTTGTTTCTAAAACAAGTTTGTACAATAAAAATTATGTTGGATAATAAGAGTCGGGATGGAGATCAGTTTATAAAGACCATGATTTGGAAAATGAAAGAACAGTTTGACAAATATTGGGGAGATTGTAATCTATTAATGGGTGTGGCTGCTATTTTGGATCCCAGACTGAAGATGAGGGTAATTGAATGGGCGTTCCCTAAGATGTATCCTCAGGCTGAATCGCGGACAAATATGGATGTTGTTCGAGATGCCTTGTATGAGGTATATAGGGAGTATGTTAATGCCAGTAAAGCATCGACAGCTGCCTGCGCTTCTGCATCTACAGAGGGTGCAGTTCAGAAGGTTGGTGAGGGGTCAGGGGCAGCGGCAGAGATGGCGGATGATTGGGATGATTTAAGTGAGTATCTGGATGGGGTTGAGACGGTTGAGCCAACAAAATCAGAGTTAGACTGTTACCTGGGAGAGGGATGCCATAAATGTGTTGGGGACGCTACGACATTTGATGCTTTGACCTGGTGGAAGGCTAATTCAACAAAGTTCCCTATCTTGTCTACCATGGCTTGTGACATATTAGCCATTCCTATTACTACGGTTGCTTCTGAGTCTGCTTTCAGCACCGACAGTAGGGTTATTGACACATACCAATCGTCGTTGGCTCCCAACATGGTGGAGATGCTCTTATGTGGATGTGATTGGAGCAAGACATTGAATGGGGTGAAGAAAGGATGTAAAGTAGGTTACATACTTATATTGAATATTGTTTTTATTAAATTTAGTTATTACTTTATATTTATACTAACTAAACTTCAATTACTCCTCCTTTGTCATTTTCAGGAAGAGCAGCAACCGTTGGAGATCAACCTTCCTATCCCATAAGTTCCTGGGATTCAGTGCATGGTTTGGCTGTGGTAAGAGGCATGCATAGGTAAAACTTTTATTTCTTTTGCTTTTGTTTCATGATTATACATATTTTTTTCTTGTCATAGTTACCTTAAAAAATACTTATTAAATTGAACATTTTCTAGAGGCAGGGGGAAATTGTAGTTTTCATCGAAGATAAGCCTACTGCAGACTACTGGTGGATAGTGATTTTGATTGGTGGATTGTATATGTACTCCTAAGAATGTTATTTGTATATATTCAGAACTGTTTTTTGATTTTGTAAGGTAATAGACATTTTGTAATGTTTGAAATTGTCATGGTTAATTCAACATTGGATGTAAATATGAAATGTTGTACACAGGTAAATTGCTGTAAAAAAGGGGAACTTGGCTTGATCAAACCCGGATAAATGGTGGTTTGATCGAGCCTTATCGAGCTCGACCGAGCTCAAGCTCGACTCGAGCTCGAGTCTCAATTTTGAGGCTCGTCAGGCTCAAGCTCGAACTTGAGCTCGATCAGCCAAAAGCTCGACTCGGCTCCGCTCGTTTACACCCTTACTTGCTGGGGAGCAACGTGTGTTTGACTTGGTGTGTTTGGGTAGTTATTAGGTTTTATTCTAGGTTTATTTTAGTTGTTGTTTTTGTTTGTGTTATTTTCTTTGTAGTGATTATTTGTTTGGGTGAATTGTTTAATTTTTGTGTTCCGTTTAGTTTGCCTCTTTGCATTTTGGTTAATTATTTTCTTTTTAGGTTGTTGGCGTAATTTCATTTTTACTTCATTTTATTTCATTTTCATTTTATTTGCATTGGAATAGTTTCATTTGTGTTTTTTTTTTTGTTTCGCAGGAAAATTGCAATTGGGAAAACACTGCAGTTTGTCGTGAGCATTGAAGATCTAGCAGGACCCTATTGTGAAATTCTCTTAACTTTGTTTTTTTTATTTTTTTATTTTTTAGTCATTTTGATTAATTAGTAATAGCTTTTGCCTTATTTTGCATAATTTGTTTTTATTCTTAGGATTTAATTTTTGTTCTTATTATTAATTTCTTTTAGGTTACATTGATAACTTCAGTTTTGATTAAGCGTAATTGTTGTGTGAAATTTTGTTGGATATTGTTTTATTAGATTTTAGATTTGTTTTAGTTTTGTTTTGTTGGCTTATTAAAATTTGTTTCTTTGGATTTGCATTTAGCTAATTTTCTTTGAGATTGTTGTTGCGTTGCTTGTTGAGCCTTTTGTGTGCTTGATTGATGAATGCAAACTAGAAGGTCTTGTAACGAAGAGTTATTACCTTTGAATCTTGAAATTGAACGCACTTGTAAGAGGAATAGGAAACAAGCACGTAGGATGGCTGACCAGGATAAACCTGCACATGTGCCCCTTAGCCAACATTTTGCACCCACCACCTACACTTCAGCCTCATGTATTCGTATCCCCAATGTCTAGACACAACACTATGAGATCAAAACTAGTGTCATCCAATTGTTGCCAATTTATTATGGGAATTTAAATGAGGAGCCATACAAACACTTAGATGAATTTTTAGAGGTTTGCTCCACAGTTAGACTTCAAAATGTGAATGAAGATGTCGTGCGCTTAATTTTATTGCCATTCTCCCTTAAGGATCAAGCCAAACAGTGGCTCAATTCTTTGGCAGTAGGGTCCATTATCTCTTGGGCCCAAATGCAACAAGGATTCCTAAAAAAGTATTATTCCATTGGTAAAACCAACAGCATAAGACGAGCCATTACTAGTTTTGCTTAACTTGATGGCGAGGAATTTTATGAGAGTTAGGAACATTTGAAGGAAATGCTTAGGAAATGTCCCCATCACGCAGTCCCTAGGTGGCAATTAGTTCGTAGTTTTTATGACGGACAGACCGAGAGGCATAGGAATATGGTAGACGCCTCTTGTGGAGGAACATTTATGCACAAGGACGAAAATGAGTTATGGAAACTCTTCGAGACCTTAAGTGAAAATTCAATGCACCACATTTGTGCGTCTAGAATGCCTATCTTAGGGCAGCCATCCAAGAAGGGTGGCGTGTATGAGGTGTCACTGTTAGATGACATTAGTTCCAAGTTAGAGGTGTGGCCCACCGGTTTGACAAGTTTGTATCTATACAAGGGCAACCTTCTACACAATCATCTCAGAATAGGGCGAATCAACATGTTTTTCGCCATGCACTCCACTCTTGACCATCCAATTGAGGAACCCGCCCCTAACCCTTTTGAGGAGCAAGTGCAGGTTGCACAAGGCTTCTAGAGACGGAGCGATCCGTACTTAAACACGTACAATCCTAGGTGGCGTAACCAACCTAATTTTTCATGGAAGCCATAACCACCTCAGAATGTCCCCAATAATATGCCATATAGGAACAATCCTTCCAATAAGCAAGACAATTATAGGGAGCAACCTTCAATCTAACCACCCATCCAACCTAGGATCCCACCTCCCATTCAGCAGCCCACTCCAGTGCCTAGTTCAATAGAATCAATTATGGCTCAAATGCTCCAAACCATGCAGGAACAAAAAGCCAACATGAATGCTAGGTTCCAAGATTTAGAGCAGCATACCCAACTTCTACATTCTCATTCCCAATCCATTAGTAAGCTAGAGACCCAGATTGGTCAAATAGCCAAAACAGTCAATAGGAAGGAACAAGGCCAATTGCGTAGTCAGGTCATAGGTAACCCTAGTGGTTCTTCTCAACAGAGGGGGTTTTTCGAACAAGCTAAGGCCATGATGACTCTTCAGAGCGGCCGAGAGCTAATTAGGCCTGAGAGGGAAGTAAAAGTCCAGGGTAGAGAAGAGGAAAGTCTAGGTAGGGACCAAACCAAAGAGAGTGAGAATGAGCCACTTGTAGAGTCAAGTGTTCAGAGACCGGGCAAGGAGAAAGTTGGGGAGAATGAACCATCCCCTACATCATACATACCGAGAGCACCCTTTCCTCAGTGCTTAGAGCCCCCAAATGTTCCCACTACTAGGAAAAGCGTTAGGATGGAGGAAATGATTGAGTTGTTTAAGCAGGTGCAGATTAACATTCCACTCTTAGATGCCATTAAGCAAGTACTTGCTTATGCCAAATTCCTCAAAGACTTGTGCATGCAAAAGAGGCGAATGAAATCTCACACATCCAAGACTGTACATTTACCGAAAAATGTAAGCACGGTTGTCTCAAACCGCCTTCCCTCGAAGTTAAAGGATCCTAGAGCTCCTATTATTTCTTGTGTGATAGGTAATGTCACAATTGATAGAGCACTCTTAGACTTAGGGGCGAGCGTGAACTTACTACCCACTTCCATGTATGAACAGTTTAACTTAGGTGAGCTCAAGTCTACTGAAGTCATCCTGCAGTTAGCTGACCGATTGGTCAAAATGCCTAGGGGCCTAATTGAGGACGTGTTAGTTAAGGTTGAGGAACTATATTTTCTGGTGGATTTTCTTGTCTTAGATATGGAGTATACAAGCAGTGGAAGTATGCCACCGATTATTTTAGGGAGACCTTTTCTAGCTATGGCAAATGCATGCATTAACTATAGATCAGGAAAGATGGAAGTGTCTTTTGGGAATAGGAAACTGAGACTTAATGTGTTTAATGCTGGTTTAGGACTGATGCATGAGGACGATAACAAGTGTTTCATGGTTGATGCTATTGACAGTCTAGTGGAGGCACACGCCCCACATATGTTATGTGATGATGCAATTTACACTCTTATGAATCTGTTTGTTGAGGAGATATCTAGCTTGAGTGTTGTGTTTGAGATTCAAGAGGTTAGTGCGTATATGGCTAGGTTGCCCACTCTAGAGCGTCGATCTTGGAACATCAAGTATGAACCCTTACCACCTTTGTCTAAGACGACACAACCGAGGTCAATTGAATCTCCACCAGTCTTAGAGTTGAAGGTCTTGCCTGATACTCTAAAGTATGTTTTCCTAGGACCCAACAAGACCTTACCCGTGATCATTGCCGCCAACTTAGATAGTGACCAAGAGGAGAGATTAGTAGTGGTCTTGATAACACATAAGGAAGCAATCGGTTGGTCGGTAGCCGATTTGCGAGGGACTAGCCCTTCTTTGTGCATGCATCACATATTTTGTAAAGAGAATGCTAAACCGGTGCATGAAACTCAAAGAAGGTTAAACCCAAACATGAAGGAGGTGGTGAAGAAAGAGATGATCAAATAGCTTGATGCGGGTATCATCTACCCTATATCCGATAGCCAATGGGTGAGTCTGACCCATGTTGTACCTAAGAAGAGTGGCCTCACCATTGTTGAAAATGAAAAAGGTGAGCGAATTCCTACCCGTACTCCCACCGGATGGAGAGTTTGCATTGACTATAGGAAGCTCAACCTAGTCACTAGGAAGGATCATTTCCTGCTCCCATTTATTGACCAAATCCTAGAAAAACTTGCAAGGCGGGCTTTCTATTGTTTTACTAGATGGCTATTCTAAATATAACCAAGTACCAGTTGCCCCCGAAGACCAGGAAAAGACCACATTCACATGTCCTTTTGGTATGTTTGCCTTTCGTCGCATACCCTTCGGGTGCGCAATGCACCAACAACGTTTCAAAGGTACATGTTATCGATATTTTCTGACATGGTGGGTCAATTCCTGGAAGTCTTTGATGCATTGTAACTACAACATGCATAAATAGCAAGTGCACTAGTCGCACAAGGTAATAAAGTGATGAGTGAGTATCGTTCCCACGAGGATAGTGTTACTAAGTACCGATTTCCCTAGTTTAAGTACTAATTAAAGCAACAATAAATTGGATTGATGGAAAATTAACAACTAAAAACAAATTAACAAAATATAAATGAATGATAATGGAATTAAAGCAAAACCCAACAACTTAACTAATTAAACAATGCTAAAAAATGCTAGGGTGTTGATTTCACCTAGATACGCTAACCCAAATCATAGAATCTATTACCCAAGTTCTAATTCCTTGATTGAAAATTGAATTCCCTAAGTTGTAAAACATACCTTCTCAGGCTACATTTCCCTACTTATCTCTATTAAGCTTCCGCGCCCAACAAATTGAAGATTAATAGTTCAAAGTCTTTTAAGCTTTGTGGAATTCTATCTAGATTTCATAGATCGCTAAACCTATCTCTAGCGTTTGCTAATCTATGGTATTTATCCCCAAGAGGCACAATCACAAATCACTTCTCAGTCTCATTGTGAACAACACACATTTGAATGGTGATCAAGCAATCCAAAAGTCATTAAGCAAAGAGATAAACACTCAATCATGAAATTAAAACTCAAAGTAAATCAATTCATATAAATTTGAATCATTGTATCAAGATTACACAAACCCTAGCTAAACAACTCAGTTCATACTTAAAAACGAAATAAAATTACAAAAACAAACTGAATTAAGATTTATCATTGAAAACAAGCAAAGATGGAGAAATCTTCTCTAATTTGAAGCCCAAATCTTCAATAAATTCTCCTTTCATGAGCTGCCTCCCAAATGATGGACCAAGACCCTTTTTCTTCCTTTTCGCTCTAATTATACTCTTTCACTTAAGGACCAAGCCTAGCAAGCCAAAACACGTCATTTTATTTACATCTGATGCAGGTTTCGCCGCCGCCACGAAGACTTTCGGGCCAAATTTGAGCAGATCGAGTCTGAACTGAGACGTGTTAAACATATGAATTGTAGCCCTTTAAATACAATTTCTACTCGTTCAAGAATCAGCACAGTCCGAGGTCTACAGCTCACGTTATGGAAAACATACTGAAGCACGTCCAAAGACGTTTTTCTTCAGTTCCCAGCGTATTGTTCACGACTTCAAGCCAAGTTTTGCCCTCGTCCAGTCGGAATTAGGAAAAACCCAAACATAAAGTTATAGCTTTCTCCTTAGCTTTCCAAAGCTTCTAAATTCAGGATTCCGAGTTTCCAAGCTCAAGTTATACAATTTACGCTCAAAACTGTCATTTATGCTAAAAATCATATTTAGGCCTGCCAAGACAAATTAATAGAATTAGGTAGCAATTATGGCCCAAATTGTATGAAAATTCTCCTAAATCCTATCAAATTCAATGCAAAATCATAGTATAAAAAATGATATCAGTCTTCATGGATGATTTTTCTGTGTTGGTGGCATCTTTTGATGATTGTCTCGAAAACTTGAGTTGGTGTTGAAACGTTGTAAAGAGACAAGCCTTGTTCTTAGTTGGAAAGAGTCATTTCATGGTTCAAGAGGGAATTGTCTTGGTCATGTAGTTTCCAAGGAGGGGATAGCAGGGGATAAGGCAAAGGTAGAGTTGATTTCTCAACTACCACGCCTTCGTCGGTTAAACAAATTAGATCTTTCCTAGGCCATGCAGAATTTTATAGGCGGTTCATCCAGAATTTGCAAGATCTCTAAGCGTTGTGTGATTTGCTTGCTAAAGATGTGCTATTTGTTTTTTATGACTCTTGTATGATTGTCTTTACCATTTTGAAGGAAGCGTTGACCACCGTGTGAAGTAGGTACCCTAGAGCCAATCAATTATTATGGAATTGATCTTTGTATAATGTTCATTAATCAATAAAAGGCATTTTATTCTATATCACGTAAATCATATATTGCAATATGTATTGATATATGCCCTCAGAATGGTAGAACCATGACAAGTGTATCAAGTGTTCCAAATCTTGATAGTGAGAACCCCATGAGACATATGGTGGCCATTATAGAAACGTTCATAGCCCTAGTATTATTTGAAGTAAGGGTACAGATAATACGATAAGGCTATCATAGTGTTGAACGACCCTATACGAAAGGAAGTGACTGATCTCACTTGTCAATGTTGTTTGGTGACAACCTAGAACAACACAGGGTGCTTGCTGTAGGCGGATACAGTAGCAAGTTCACTGGACTGACCCACTAGAGGATTCCATAGGATGGTAACCCTAGTGTCTATGAAAAAATCCTCATACGAATGGTGGTACATGTGATCCTTAGACTTGAGATCACCAAAGCGCCTTGTGCACCAATTGGTGTAGTTTGACACTAGCCTAACGTAGTTCTTTTCAAAACTATCAATACGGTAGTGATTGGCTGGAGAGGAGTGTATCAAGACTATGGTGGATTGAAAGGGATTCATCCATCTCGGGTATGGGAGAGTTATCTCATGGCGCAATTCAGTATTGGCAATGACACTAAAACTGTGGCCACAATGGGATTGAGATGTTGGTCTATCCGGATTATAATACAGGTATTGGTCCAGAAAATAAACATAATATTGAGAGTAACCAAAGGTTGACACTATTTCTATGCCTTCATCTCATGAGAAACAAATGATGAAAGATCGAATTGTACGGTAACCATACCATTACAGGTAGCTACTTTGCTGAATCCGAATCTATCGGGTGGCCATGATGCCTTGCTAAGCGCCAATCTGGTTGTGTATAATGAGATAAATATGGTGTTAATCGTGATACTATACACTGCCGGTATGATGAGTGATTGTTTACAAGTCCTAAAACACTTGTAAACATGAGTGGACAAGGAATTACAAGTCCTAAAACACTTGCTAATTCGGTTGAATCAAAAAGTTTCATTCCAAGTCCTAAACACACTTGGATTGTGGAATGTGGAAAGCGGATGGGAAATTCGGCCCAAGCAAGTTCCAAGGGGGGCGAGAGCCCAAGCATTTCGGCCCAAACCATTCCAAGTCCAAGCCTAACAAAGGAAGTCAAGCCACCAAGAGAGAAGCCCAAGTGTTGAAGTGAACCCATTCGGCCCAAGTCCATTCCAAAAGGGAAAGCCCCCATGAACCCTTATTAGATCCATTTGCAAGATCCTTAAGGCCTAAACTCTTACCCCTTATTAGTAGACTGATTAGGATCATTGATCAAGCTTTGAGCTAATAAGTGAGTTTTTTCAACTAATGGGGTGGTTAAAGACATGGTCCTAGAATTAGGGAATCATGTCCCTTTTGCATTAAATAGGTATGGGTCTTGTTTTTTGAATGAATGGCTTGTAATATTTGTGAATATTTGTTAATTTTATTTCTTGTATTGTATTTGTGGATTACTAATTGCCTATATAAGGCAACTATTCCTTTGTTACTTAGTTTTATGAAATATCAAAAATTTGGTTTAACCATTGAGAGAACTTGTGTTCTTGTTGTGTGTTTCTTTATCCAAGTCTGGCAAGGAGATTTGGTGGTAAAACAATTCAAGTTGGTGGAGAATTCCTTTATGCTTGAAGTGTTTTCTACTTGTCCTAACCCAAATGCAAGTAAGTGTGACATTGCTCCTCTAGTGTATTTGGACGATTTAAGCTTGAATTTAGGGCCTTTTTGTTGTGTCTGTTGTTGCAAATTGGTTGGAATTGGTACATTTGGTATCAGAGCTTCGGTGTGAAGTGGAGTAGGATTGATTTAGGGTTGATTGGCCAGAATTTTGGGTGTTGACATTGCCGATTGGAGTGCTCTAGCTTAAGTGTTCTTTTCTTTTATTGCAAGTGATTGAACATTTGTTTCTCTTCATCAAACACTATTCCCCGACCAAATCCCTTACACCTTGTTCCTTTCTAACCAAATCCATTGCCACTCACCCAAACCCTAACCAATTCCCTCCAAAGTCAACTAAACCCATTCTTCCCAACCAAACCAACTTTAACCCTTAACCAAACCCTAAAACAATTAATAACCTAATCCATCTCCAAAACACCATTCCTTAGCCTAATTATAGAATAATATTCACAGAAAAAATATTCAGAGAATACTTTCACTTAAACCAAAATCACCAAAACTCATACACTTGACCTTCCCTCCCATTTTTCATTTTCTTTAACATTCAAAAGTTACTGTTCATCAGAGTTACTGTTCATAGTAGCAAATTTCCCCACTTCTCATGGCAAACAAGTCCCCTTCCTCCCTAATTCCACCCCCAACACCCATGGGAGAGTGCCACCAAAAAAAAATTCAAGAAGAACTTGATGAAGTAAAAAGAATATGTCCAACATGATGGAATTGAGGTTAACATGTCTAAGGACATTGCCAACCTTTCACAACCCAAACCCACCTTTGACGAAACCCCACAACCACCTCCACGGGATGGTCACCCACCCACCACCAATGAACCATCCTTAGGACACCATTATATTGGAAAACCTAGGAGATAGTAATGATTCATCTAGTGAATCCGAAGTGCCTAGAGGAGAAGGTTTGATGAT